AATAACTCAACTTAGTATTTCAAATGAACTTAGGCGACTGCAAGTGTGATTACACTTGTATCACTCTTTTGTATAACACTCTAAAGTAATAAATGAGTGATTAGAAGATTCAAATGCAGAACAACTAAAATACGATAAGTAGGCATCTTTTGTTTGAGCCTGCAATGCACAACAGACATTAAGAATGCTTCAGATCTCTTAGCAATAGATACCTTAGAGATATAACAGAGAATGAGCAGTTAGCCTTACCTAGCACGTGGAAATAGGTTCTTCTAAGCAACACCATTCACACAAGTGCTTAAGAGGTATACGATACTTCTTAAAGTTGCTGTTGTTCAGGAATACAGCAAGTGGGGGATATAACCACTAGTATGCACTAGAAAGCATTCTCAAAGTCTGTAATTAGTTCGAAGAGAAATGCTCTAAATTAATGTGATTAATTAACTTTATGGGTGCGCAAATGGCGATGCACTGAAGAAAAAGTCTGTAAATTTTTGTGCCAAACATTTTAGAAGTGTGTTGTTGCTCAGAAGAGCAAAGACCTTTGCTTAATAAATGGATGAAAGCAATCGGCAGGAAGCCTTTTTAGTATTCGTCATCATGGTATATCTACAATCTGCACAGAACTTATGTCCTGCCCGAGTTTGGAACCCACGTCACCAAGTCCTATGGTTAGAGACTTTATCAATGAGTTATTCGGGCTACGACTGACATCTTGTTGGACTAGATTGCATACGTTGATTGGTTACTCTCCAGCTACCAATCAATCTACTTTTGCTGGCACACAGCTATTATTGCATAACTTCTCACTGCCCAAGAGTGAACACAATGAAATTTATGACAGCACAACTCTTATTTTTTCAAATGTATCAACAAATGTTTTGTTTTCTGACAGTTGCCATCTTTGCTTGTCTAATCTGTAGGCTGCTGGTTTGAATCTAGCTGTAACCCAGGTTTTCGTCTCACTATCTTTCGTCACCTGGTTTTATAACATCAAACCACGTTAGTCTCAGATAGTTTCAGGAAACATCAATATACGCCCCCTTCTTTAATGATGCTGGATGGGGATTGGGATGAGAAGTGGCTGCGTAACCAGTATCATCACGGTGAATGGACAGAAAAGCATCATAGATGCATGTAGCAGCCAGTGAAGAATCTCGGTGACTGAAGTGTAGTGTAGACTTGGTCTACAGTTAATTATCGCAGATCAGTTAGTAGAGCGCCAGGTCACTACCGTGGGGGCTATTGATTTGAGTCCTGCCAATACCTGAGTTTTCATTTCTCCTTCATTCGTCATCTGGTGTCAACAACATCAGACTGCCTAAACACATCTAAGTTATTCTAATTAATAACAGAATTTTAGTAGAATAAAAGGAAAAGCGGCTGAACAAGAATGAACTGATCACTCTTGACAGTTTTATGTAGTCTCCCACAAGATCATACATGTAAACCGTTTCAGAAACAGTAGACCCTCAGAAATCTGTTTTCTGAACATTTCATTGCTACCATCAAGCAGTAAGGCTATTTTTCACCATATTCGACTCTCATTGGACCTCTTCAAGGCCAACGTCCAAGTGACCTTCACATGTTTCAGAACAAATGTCTACTTGTGAAAAAGAAACAAAATAACTTTAAGCGTCTTTTCTCATTTATTTTATCTATATCAGTTTTGCCTTTTGTTAAGGCAAACAATATTCATTTTGTGTAATTTAGCTGTCCTTGTCTGTTTATTGTGTTTGTTTGAACCATATAACAGTCACATTTATGTCCAGCCAAGAAAAAGTGTATGCTTCTGTGTGTTTAGACGACGGACAAAAGCTACACAGTAGCTAGATTATACGAAAATTTCCTGACCAATAGCCAATTTTCATATTAAAAATGGAAAAGGAGAAACGGAGACACTAGGTACTTAGAAAGTGATGAATTTTAAACGTTATGACAATGGGTATTGATAACAAGGTGAATATCCGAGGACCACTGATAGCAATTCTTCTGCACACCCATGATCCGTTTAGTACGTACTAGTGATCAAGTGAGGTCACTAAACATTTTGAGCTCTTTGGAACCAGCTGTAGCACACCTCACTTTCAACGTCAATCAACATTGAATATTGACACAATTTACCTTCTGGTGTTATGCCTGTCATAGATATTACACAATATCATGATTATCAAGTGCTTGAATTTCCCTGTTGAACAATCAATTTATTAATTGTTCAGTAGTAGTTAGTGATTCGCTGCGATATCGATACTTTGTATAACAGCAAGACTGTGACCATAGTAGGCGATCATGCAGCGTGTGTGGGAGCAGGTTCTCACTGATGAGACTGAATGTTGGCAACTCCATATGATTATTCAACTGAGGCTCTGACAGTGAGTTTGATGATTGGATAAGGATGATCATCCTCTTGGAATTTTCCCATAAGGTCATGATTACATAGCATTTGATGTAGAAGTTTTACCCAGTGACTTCAGGTGGCAGGGGAGTTTCTAAAGTCGAAGAGGATGAGAGCGATTGTCTGCCACTTATCACCGGATTGATGGGTACTGAGTTCTGACTGAAAGACTTTGGACAAGCCTGTGTTTTGAACCAATAGTGATGTACTGCAGGATCTGGAATGGACAAATTGCATATAAACCTATTTTAATTACCATTGTAAGAACGTAGCTACTGATGTTGCATTGCTTTTTTGTTGAAAAGACTTTAAGTCTAAAGTTAGGGGTGTGGTCACATTAAATGAGTACCTGCCTCAGTTTTTACATTTATTTGACATACTAACCGTCTCACAAACTATGGCAAAAAATATCTGGACAGAAGTTTCCAGAAGCTTAACAAATGCGCCTTGTACCAAAGCTTCAAACCGTAAAAACTAGCAATTCATATTATTCTCATGACGTTACTGTTTCTGCGTTTTATCTAAACTATGTCATTTTGTTTTTGATAATTCTACCTATATCGTTATTTTATTCTTTTGAAGTCCTGGCCTTCCGGTATTTTTTCAAGTCACCAAACATATACTTCCATAAAGCTGCTTTCTATGTGGTTCACCACTCAGTTATTATAAAACGAAGTATAATGTTAAATGTAATATAATGTTTAAATGCTGACTTGGATCAGATAATACAAAGTTGGTTAGGACTTTGGAGAGTTTCACTATTAGTATATGTTGTGTCTAAAAAAATGTTCTAACAAAATCCCAGGGAAGTAGTTTGAATAGTTTCTCTGTCATCCATTTAAAAACGTGGATTGCTTGTACTCCTACTCAAGGATAATTTCATCTCGAATTCCGACTCAGATTCAAATTTAGTTCTCAGTGCGAGCCTTTGCTAGTCAAATAGCCCTTCACTAACAGTCCCTTTCTCGCTGTTGAGTTAGACGATTTGGTTGGGGTAGTAAGTAACTGTAGAAAATGGTGTAGTTTAGGATGAGTTCTACTATAATCTAAAATAACCCCAACTGAGCGCACGTGATAGAAGCTGCAGTGTCAGCTTGGCACTTCCAGACTCAAACAGTAGGCGACTGGGTGGCTAAGGAGGATAAGTTGGCTATATATTGAAAGATAAGCACTGTCCACTGCAGCTTTGTGCAGACCACACTTGATTCCTAACACAACCATCGCCGTTGTACTGTCTGGTCTGTTTTTCTCCGCCTTTTGAACATGAACTTGGATCGACCAAACTGTAGTTATCTACCGACCAAATGGGTCTATTCACAGCTGCCGGTTTTTACAGAGCAGCTGTTTGAACTTTGATCACGGTTCAGTATGTCATGAGTTTATCTTCTGCTTCACTTGTCACCGAAAATGTCTGTCGGTTAGTTAGTATCAATATGGGATCTAGCATTACTGCATGATGGACCTAGTTGTCGCACCTCACACTACCTCCATTGAAAGATAAGAAAAAGGAGTGATCGAAAGGGGTAGAAATTCGCAAAATGCAACAGATAAGGAATGAAACGATGATGAGAATCAATGTGACAGCTAGGATGAAGATCACTTATGGATGAACCTTTGCAACTAACATCGAATCACAGCCACGTCGCCTCCAGCCTCCAACCACAGGCTTCTCTTGCCACACGGAATCCAACCGGAAAGTCTCAGTTATCCTACATGGCTCAGATGAAAGCTGAAATGCTTCAGAGACTAATACTATGTTTTAGCCTGGTTGCTTTTGGCCACCTTCCAGCTTGAACATACTTAAGTCAACGTTGTACAACAGGTCAGACGGTAACTAGGCATGCACAACCCACGTCCTATCAGTCTGATTTGACGAAGGTCCACCACCTCATCAACTGGCATACCTTTTCTTCCCAAAATCCTATGCCTGGCTTCTGCTTTACTGATGTGCTGGGACCGTGGCACAGCCAATGTATGCTATGAGGGCGACGACGGTTGAACATCTAAAGCATTCTTATGTTTACTGCTATAAATGGCTATGTTTCAAAACAACACAGAATGATAGAACGGGTTGCTTACTGCTCAGTGCAACTGGCTCTCAGTAGATGATTGGATGTCACAAGAGTACTATGAATGGCGTTAGTTGAGAAAGTCAGTCACACCTTTTGTATTTGTGAAGAGACTTCGTTGGCCAGTGACTCATCAGGAGTGATCCTACCTCCAAAGTCAAGCTATCGATCCCTTCAAATAGTTCAGTCTGAATTGTTAGATGAGGTACTAACAGAGACTTGTCCTGGAGCAACAATTAGCATTTGGTTGATGAGAAGTTCAATTCAAACATTTTCAAACTAAAACTTGATGTTAATGGTATTGTGTTCTCTGAGCAAGATGGTTTAATCCTGAAGTTTTCATTGTCTGGAATGGAAGTAAATACACTGTGAGTATACTATTCAATGCTATCAATAGTGGTGACAGTTACGAATGTAGCTGTAGGAGAAACTGTCATCAATATCGTTACATAGTGGTAACAGAGAAGGGAGTGGTAAAGTTGTACATGGCAGTGGTTTCGTTAGTATTGGTTACAGTATTGGAGGTGCAGTTGCTATCATCGTCGATATTTTAGTAGTGTAGTAGTAGTAGTAGTAGTAGTAGTGGTAGTAGTAGTAGTGGTAGTAGTAGTAGTAGTAGTAGTAGTAGTCGTAGTAGTAGTAGTAGTAGTAGTGGTCGTAGTAGTAGTAGTAGTAGTAGTAGTAGTAGTAGTAGTAGTAGTAGTAGTAGTAGTAGTAGTAGTAGTAGTAGTAGTAGTAGTAGTAGTAGTAGTAGTAGTAGTAGTAGTAGTAGGTATATTAGTAACATATCCTTAATATGAACCCTTTTGGCAAGTTAATGGGCTTTTTCTGAAGTAATTCAAGTAACAATTATCTACTAATCTTGAGCTGAATTCCTTCTGGATAATCTTAAATACTCTACAGTAATTTTTGTTAAACCTTTTTCTCTTGAGGACAAAAGCACACGTTTTTCTAAAAGATAACGGAGGTTAATTAAATTTTCCAAAGTAAAATTCAGCAAAAACAAGCAAGAAAATTAGAAAATAAACAGATGGACAGACGAAATTAGTCAATTTCTGTGTTGTTGTCTGAACTTTTTAGAGCAGTATCATCAAAAATTCCTTGCTTAATTAGACAGTTCAGTTTTTTTTTCTCTCTGGTACTTACACTTGTATTTTTTTGTGCAAATGAAAAAGTATTGATTCACGCTTGTTCATTTCTTTGTTTTGTTCAAATCTTCAACTATCTTTACTGGTGGTTTTCTTTTTGCTCTTCAGTTTGGTCATGTGCAACGGTAGTAAACCGTGCAAATCAGTAGTCTGTCTGTTCGATTTTATGTGTACTAAAGAAAAATACGAGAATATCTGTATTATTAGGCTGTATGAGAAAAGCATATTTATCAGTTCTAGACATCCTATTACATACTGTAGCTTAGAGTCCCTTTCATATACCTTACTTGCTGATACAGGAAGTGTGATATGAATTTCAATTTATACCTGAGTTATGGTGTCTTTTCTGTAGGTGTTGTTTGGATAAGAGATATTCTTCTTCTTCTGTTGCTACTGCTGTTGTTGCTGCAACTACTGCTCGAGTTTCAGCATACCTCTTTATCATTAATTGGTTGATAATCTCTCTTTTCCGTATGCCTACAACAGAGAATGAACTCATAGTTTAGGGTAATTATACTCAACTGGAATAGAAAGTATAACAGACACCTAGTCAATTAGCTTAGTGAAATTCTTATGGATACATGCGGTTTTCTGCTGTTCAGTGCCCACATATTAGAATGACTGATCAAATTCGACATAACGTTTGATAAATGTTTTAGAGGTAGTATTCATCATGGACTGACATCAGCTGGAGAACCATTGAAAACCTGGGAGTACTGAACAGCTTTTTCGTTCTAGTGTGGGACTCCTCAGCAAACAGTATGCACCCACAACACTGCTGGGGGTCGAACTCGGGACCTTCAGGTTTCACGGCGAACACGATAGCCATTCAACCTCTGGGTCAGAGTCCAGTGGCTCACAATTTCCAACTTCTGTCAGTTCACGATATAGCGCGACTATCACCCAAGGTCTTCAGTTGGCATCCGCTTCCCTTCCGACTGGTTGACTCAACAGGTCACGGCTTCTTATTAGAAATTCTTGATGAATACTACCTTTAAAATAAAATCCCCATTCACCTCAAAAATACACAAGCGTTTTAGTTTACTTAGTAGAAAAGTAAACTGATAACCCGAAATTCTCTTTCATGATAAACACGCTCTATAAGCTTATCCGAATTCTTATTCTGATCATGTAGGGGATGATTAAAAGATTCCCATGGACTATTGGCGACTCTAAAGGTTATTTTCCTCAATTTCCATTAGAAGGAATAGGTCAGTTTCAATTTAACAAGTTTTCAGGTGGTATTCATCACAGACTGATATCATTTGAGGTATAATTGAGAACCTAGGAGGATTGGACAGCTGTTTCATCCTTAGCTGTGCGCGGCTCCTACATTCTGTGATGAATTCCATCTTCAATTAAATCAATTCACCCAAAACTTCAAGGTGAATATAATCAGTTATTATCATTTTATCCGTCTGAAAACCCTACATTTCCTATGCTATCCTTGAAATCGTGTTATCATTATCGTTTACCAGAAGTGAAGGTAGTCAGACAAGCTTGATAAATATTTAAAACGGGTCACTGTTATGTCTGCCTACGTAATGGTAAGTGATACTAAAATTTATTTCTCTAAAACATATTCTGTTGATTAAATGATACAAGAAATGCTTTTTTCTATGCTCACTTCCAAAGGCTTAGACAACAATACACAGACTAACTAATTCTTTGTATTTCTGTATGTATTGTTTTTGTGTTTACCATTCTTTTTTTACCGTATATAATTCAGTGAGACCAGTAATGTGACTATCATTATTATTATTAGTTAGACTTGTTATTATTATTATTATTAAAGCTAAAAAGAAAATGTTTTTGACTTCAGTTGTTGAAAATTATATAACTTGACCTTGACCTATGTATATTTTAAAATGAATTCATCAAGTTTTTACTAAAAAAACTTGAAATTTGAAATCCTACCGCAACAACTAGTACACGTTTATTAGTGGTATACTCTACTTTCATAAGTTTTTCTCCATTTATTGACCTCTTTGTTGTTGATAGACAGTTGCGTAGGTGGGGTGCGATGTGAACCAATTAGGGAATGGCTACTTATTGGCTTGTGTCAAACATACTAAATCTAGCTTACACAGGAACGTATGCCTTCGCATATCTAGCTGTTGAGTTATGATAGTATATGTTGCCAAGATGGCCTGTGTTAACAGTAATACACTATGATCTTATTGTTTGAGTCTTCTTATCACATCTATTAGTTGCATAAATTGCTTTCACTCATTGTAATTTTCTCATTCGTTCTACCGGATTTATCTATAGTATGTCTTTTAAAATCATTTCAGTTTTTTGCAGTGATGTTACTCTTAAAAGGGAAAGTCAATGAGCATAGGAAGTTAAGGAATCCACTTGACAGTGAAAATCATATGACTTATTTTCCTGTTAATGCAGATGGGTAAGTTACTGATACTCTCTACAATGTTACTGCCCATATATCCGAAAGAAGTCTTACCCCATGAACTTAAATTTTGTTTCCCGTACATGCAGTCATCAGATTCGGCCATCTAAGCACAGTTTGAAAATCTGTGGGGCCAGCTGAAGTGACTTGTTCCAACTTCAGTTGACAATCAAGGCTGGTTAAAAGCCAAGGTGGTGGATATTGGTCATCAGTTTTGCAGAAAAGCATTCTAATTCCTGAACATTTCAGAGCCATGAAAGAACTACGAAACAACTCTGGTATTTACATTCGCAGACCTGATCAGGGCCTAAGTAATGTGAACGTGGATAAAATAGAATACAAACATAAAATGTCATCTGTTCTTGAAGATGAGAACAGATTTACGGGAGATTGCTCTTGAAAAGATGTACAGTTGTTGCGCAGAATAGTGACTGCTAATCTAGTGAAACTCCTAGGTATGAAGATTGTTACCACCTAAAAGTGTGATTCGTTGAGACCAAATGAATCTCACTTCCTACATCTTTATGGTTTACTCAAAGTGTATAAATCCATCAACCCATTACGTCCCCGACGCACAAACTTGCCCAGTGGCTTGTGAGATTACTGAATCCCGCTAAGAATTAATTCTGTAAGCGTTCCTTAAAAGAGGAATTTGAAGTAATCGAATACCTTGATGGGAATGACATTACAGATAAGATTATATGTTCGTTCGATGAAAACTCCTTATTCACAATTGTTCCTTTGGTTGAGATAATTGACATTTTATGTGATTATATATCTAAGTAAAATTTTTCAGTACTTATTTCTCTGCATCACGCAAAAGACCTACCGGCTACATTTAAATACCAGCAACACTAGATTTATAACTAAAGGTGAATATTTCCATCAGACTGATGACATTGTCATGGAAAACTTACGGGAGGATCTAGCTGAGATTGCAGGATGGATCCATAAAACGATCTGTGTACAGAAAACCCTAGTAGACAAGTCAGTATTCGAATTATCACAGCTTTTACTCACTTTAGTACAAGTGGATATTAGTTTATTGCTTATTCAATAGACTTCGATAAATGTGAATAGATGATACTTTGGATGACGAAGCAAAGACAATAACTGAAGCCTTTTGGAAAAATACTTATCGATTTTGATTAACAAGTTGATGTAGAGTGTTTAGAGGGCCGAAACATGTTCTTCACTTTACTATAGAAAGATTATTATTATTATTAGTCCCTTGGGTTCCTAATGGAACATACCGCTTCAGTAGCACGTATCCAGTGAACTCTGTTCTCTGAAATCTTTTCAACCTGGCTCCATGACAGCCCACATCCTCTCATTCCCTCCTCACATGACCTCCTCCATGTCACCCTCACCTCACACGCTAAACTCGTCTCATCCCATCTAGCTTCCACTCGACGTACTGGCCTGACGCGTGATGTCCCCAGTCGGCATTCCCAGTGTATGCCCAATCCATCTCCACTTCCTTCCTCTACATATTTGTTCACCGATAGCTTCTTGGTTGGTTCGTTACCAGCCAGAGCTCCTTCTTGCTTATTCTTATTATTCTGGCCATCTGATCTTCAGTAACGAGTCAACGTAGGCAGTTGTTGATGAATGTCTGTAATTTGTTGGAAATCCCTTCGTAACGCGCCAAGTCTCTCAACCATACAGAAGCACTGACTTGACTGAGGTTGGTGTTGACAATCCGGATGTTGTTCCACATGCTGAGTGCAGTGCAGGAGATCTCCACACTGGTTTCAGGCTAATGAACACCTGTCTTGCTGTCTTTTCCGATCCTGGCTGGCTTTGACATCCTCGTCTGTGCCTGTGGCGCCTGTAGTTGAAACAATGATGTCTAGATAGGTGTAGGTGAGGGAGGTTACTTCCTTCAAGTTTCTCCCGTTCATGGTGATTGGAGTTTGTTGTTGTTGTTGGAGTTGTTGGTTGGGTATCTTCATCACCTCTGCCTTCTCCACGTTCACTTGAAGTCCCATCTTCCTTCGCTGCCCTGCCTCTTCTCACAACTTGTTAGTTTTCGCCTGTACATCTCCAAGTTTGTATGACATCAGACACAAGTTATCACTGGCGAAATCCACATCTTCTAGGTTCTTTTCCGCAGTCCAGCCAGCGTATCCCCCTCCTCTCGCTCGCTCCCCACTGTTTGTTGCATGATCCAGTCCAGTCCAGTCGACCACAATCAGGAATATCATTGGTGATAGTAGACGGCAACCATGTTTCACTCCTGTCTTCACTTCACCCCAAAGGCATCACTGAGCTTCCCATTGTGAATTACTTGGCATGTGGCATCTTCATATGATTGTTGAATGAGGCTGATAAAGGTTTGTGGTATTCCGTGGTGTTGAAGCAGTTTCCAAATTACCTCTCGGTCGACGCTGTCAAAGGCCTTCTCCAAGTCGATGAAGTTGAGGTAGAGTTGAGTTGACTGCCATTCTGTACTCTGTTCTATGATGATGCGAAGTGTTGCAATTTGGTCTGCACATGATTTGTACTTCCTGAATCCAGGTAGCCAGCCTGTTCCGGTCGTAGTTTTAAATCTAGCGCATCTTTTAGCCTCTCTAGGATGATGCGGCCTAGTATTTTGCTTGCTCTGGGTGGACAGAGGTGGAGAGTGATTCCTCGCCAGTTCTTGCAAACACTGAGGTCTCCCTTCTTCGGTAGTTTGACAAGGTAACCCTTCTTCCCATCAATGAGGAGGTACCTTCCTTTCTTCCACACCTTCTGCAATAGTGGTGTGGTGTGAGCACGTTTGTCGTTGTCTCTGTTTCTGTTTTCAGTGTTTCTGGCTGGAACCCATCTGGTCCTGCTGCTTTCCCACATTTCAGTAGCTTTATGGCATTCAGGAATTCCACTTTTGTTGGTGGATTTGTATTCACTTGTATTTCTGTGACTGGGCTGTAGGTGATATTTCTGTACGAAGTGCAGGTGGTGGTGGTGGTCGATTCAAGAGCTTCTTGAAGTGGTCAACCCATCGTCGCCTTTCTTTCTCTTCTTTCGTAATTAAATTTCATTCCTCATCTTTTATTGGTTTCATCTGTGTTGATCTCTTCTCAGATGGCAACCTGGTTATTTGATAC